TGAAACTCTCAAAACTGAGTTGAATAACATGTTAATAAAAAAATAAATAAACAGTTCTAATTTTTTTTAAGTACAATAATAAAAAATAAACAAGCTCCTTTATTTTATTAATAGTATGGAAATAAAATTAGGAATTCCACATCAAACAATAAAGCTTTATTGATGGCATTAAATTTTATTGTTAACCTTCGGCTTGATACAGAATGAATATTTATTTTTCTGGGATATAATATAGAAATCGAGGTGTGTTAGAAACGTAATCTGAATTCATAGTTCTTAGAAATTTCACATTTTAAAGTAGATTTTATTTTCTCTCTGTGAAACTTCCATCGCCTGCAATTAACTATTATTTAAATTTTCAACCCAGCTCTTCCATTTGCTGCAAGAAATGCAAACAAAGAAAACACCAGGATGGAGAATTCTCAGAATTAAACCCAGCACTTAAAATTCGTTTTCTCGATAAGATGACTGCTTCCACCTTTTAGCTTGAATTATATTTTTCTAGTTCACATCGCAATCACGAGAAATGTCCTGTGAGAAATGTGTTGGAGCCTTGCTGGCTGCCGTGATTTCCATGTGTGCGAGGGGAACCTGAAAACTGAATATCTGAGAGGAGTGTAGAGGTGCGTGTGTCTGTGCATGAGCATTGCATGATTACATGGCACAGTACTGTGCCCTCGTCCTTTGCCTCCCACCACCGCCCATCCTGCAATGCCAGCAAAAATTGTCCTTTGTGCATTATTAAAAATTCCGGCAACCGCCTCGTGTTTGCATATTTTTTGTGATTTAATTTTTCGTACATTTTCAACAAGATTCGCGTGCCACGTTCTTCGCCCAGCCAGCCTGTGTGTGCCTCTGCATTTAAATCAAATTAAAAAAGCCGCACCCCAGACCGGCTGACAACAACATTAAATAACTGCATGCATAAAATATTCACCAAAAACATACGCTTAAATTGAACGATAAAAAAGGAAAAATCAAGCCAAATTAAAGGGACACGGGAAGCGCAGGACCGAGCGATTAGCAGGTAAGTCGAGGGCGGGTATTAGAGCTCGATGGGGATGACAAAGTGAAGACTACAAGGTTTTCCGTGCTCAGGGCTCTGTCTTCATTTCCTTTTCTTTTTACCTGATTACACTAGTTTACAAAATTGATACAAAAAAACTTTAAAAGCCTTTTAATTTAATTTTAAAAAGTTTTTTAATGTTTTACTTTACTTTAGTTTCGGAAGAATCTAATTTTAGGACCAACTTACCAATTATATAATTTAAAAAGTGCTTAAATTCATATTTGGAATCTTGACTTTTTTCATGTTCAATAAAAACATTTTATTATCAAACTGCCCAATAAAGTAGTGGTTACCATTTTACCGGCAAAACGAATGTAAACTAGTGTCTGGGGAACTGAGTTTACCCTCCAAAATTTACCTACATTTACCTACCATTTTGTTGAACAGTGTTTTTGGGGGGGCCAGAGGTCGTGTCGGAATTATTTACGATCTCCCCAATGAACACCTCCGACGACAAATTGGGACCTGTTGTTGGTGGTACCGTAGCTGCACTAGAGTTGGTAGATGTTTGTAGCCGTTCGACTAGGGCTTGTTTTCGGCCCGTTGCACTCAGTCCGAGGGCTCTTAGCCGCGTCCTCAGCTCGGTCAAAGTGAGTCGCGTGATATCTGGTTCTGGTATGATAATGATTGTGTAGGCATGGGCAGAGGCGCAAAAAGTAGGTGATGAAATAAAAAAGGAGATACGAAAAGAGAAATTAAACAGAATTTTCCATCAAAAAAGGGCTTTTTGGCCAAAAGAGGGCTTGGCCTATGTAGGTGCAAAAATGACAGGTCCTTCCCTTTTTTCCTTTTTTTTTATTTTTGGATAATGAATCAAAAGGCAAGCAACACAAAAAGGTAGCCCAAGGAGCCTTTGCACACAAAAAGCGCAGTAAAAATGATGGTACGTGCAGTTAACGCCGCAAAAAATGCACATAAAAAGGCGAGTCGAAAATGTGTTTAACAAAATAAAAAAAACATCAGGAAAAAACAGACGTTCTGAATGGCGAAAAATGTTGATGGCGACGCGACGCATGATGGAAGGAAAAGCAGGGAAAAATAACAAAAAAAATAAAGGAGCCTCTGGCTTGTCACAACGTTTTCTTTATCGGACCGGGAAGTGACACGCACACACAAATATTAAAGGCGGTGGAGTGGGTGTGAGAGTAGGCGTGGCCGTAGACCATCAACCGAAATGCAGGAACATTAAACTTAATGCCATTGTCATGCTCAAAATTAACACAATAAATGGCAGGCAAGGCTTCAGTTTGATTGCCTCCGAAAAAGAATGAACGAGATAAGATGGTTTTCGATGTGAAAAATTGTGAATATTATAATCACTCTTCACATGCAACGGAAATACTTTTTTCGTGTCACTTTTAAAGCCAGTTTTAAAATATATTCCTTTGGAAAAACCTTAATTTTATACAAAAGTTTAGCTTTTCTTCAAATGTGAATTTTTATTTAAATTTATTGTAATTCCCAATTGAATTTTTGTTTTCAATTATTGTAATTAAGAATCAGAATTTTATTTAATGTGTTTTTTCAGAATGTGCTTTTATTTAAAGCGATGTGAAAAAGCCACGAGTTTGGGTTTTTTACTTTCTGTTAGAGATTTGTGGGATACAATGCTATTTACCATATTAGGAAGGATTATCATTAATAGTTTCTTCTTCAAAGCTTTTTACAACAATAAATATTTAATTTTTTTTTTAAATGTGTCACTTTTCGTTAAGTACATAAACCGCTTTTCCGCATTATATTTACAGCTACTAGCAACTAATCTAATTTCCTCGCAACTCCTGACTTCCCTTTCGCCTGATTAATGTGGCCACAGTTAAACTTAATTCCGCGCCATCTGAGCGGATAAAAGCCCTTCATACTGCTACACATTATTTAAATTAAGCAAGAACGAATTTTGCGAGGGGGGAAAACAAAACATGAAATAAAATGGGAAAACTTTGAAAGAGGAAAAATATGCGTAAGCCGAGGGCAAACAGATACAGAACCCCATACCAACATTCTGGCAGCCATAGCTATAAAGCATCGATGCGCCTTTAAGCTCATAAAATATTTATGAAATTGCAGGACAGCGCAAAATCTTTTGAAATATCCCCGTTTATGTGGCCCTTTATTTTGGTGGCTTGTTTGTTTATTTCCAATGCCAGAGCCGTAAAATCCCTGATTTTCTGAACCAAATAATTCGGTACAAAATGAATCGATTTGTGCTTATTTTCACTTATTTTTCTCCGACTGGCAATAATTCTCAGGTTATATCCCGTTGAGCTAGACGACAATTAAGTTTCGTGGATAGATATATTTTTTGCTGCTTTTTTAGGCCCGCCAGGTATTCACTTAATTAATGGAAAAAGGCCGCGGAAAGCGCAGAGAGTTTTGCGGAAAACTCAACAAGCTTGGGTGGCTCTGTGGGTGGTGTTTTGTGTGAGCCAGAAAACAAAAAAAAAAAAAAGAGAGAGTACCGCAGAAACCGCAACCTCAACCGCTTCGGTTGGCATTGTGTTTTTGCATTGTGCTTAGGCCTTTTTAATATTTTACTTGCGTTTGCTCTCCTATTTTATTCACCTTGATCCCATTCTGCGCCATAAGCCAAAGGCAACTGCGGAGTTTGCACAATAATCCCAAACTGCGGGCCAAGACAAACAGCGAACAGCGGGTAACAAAGTGCAGGGATGCAGGCAACTTCAATGCAACTTGGTCGAGTGTCTGGCGCACAGAAGTGGGCAATGCTTTTTGCCTTTTTGTTTTTGGAGAGACATTTGCAGAACTGAAGGGCAGGTTTGGCAGAAGGCATATAGGAAAAATTTATGACCATGAGCACTTCGCCGTATATATAGACCAAGGCAGTAGGAATCTGTTTTTAGAGGCTCCATTAAAAATTGAAATGATCTATAAATGCAGCGTAGGCCTAGCGAGGTCACAGAATATGTTCTGTCTTCCATTGTGTGTAATGCATTTCTCTTGTTTAGGACGTAACTTTAGTATTCTACCTATAAAATGTACGGCAATGATGCTGCAGGGGATTTTTGTTAGATAGACAAAGTTTTTAAATTTTATGACTTAAATATGAGGATGCTAAACAATAAGTAACAAACATAATGGCTAAATCGAAGCCATAATAAGTAGTTAAGTTATACATAACAAGCTTGGGGTATTCAGAAATAACCAAGGTAACTTCGGCATGTTGAAGTTTATATACTATCATTCAATTAAAGTCAGAAATCGTATTTTATTCGACTGCCAGCTATTCAAAACAGTGCTTATTTTTGATTTGGTACAATTAATGGCCAAATTGAAATGGATGAACCATAAATTTCTTAAACTTTGTACGACAAATGTGAGACATGAAAATTCAACAGGGTTTTGCTTGTCGCCCAAAATCGATTTTCCTTGCACTTTATAATTTACTGCTTTTTAAAACAATGTACTGTGTGAAATATCCGCTTTGATGCGCCTTCCTTTGGCCCGAAAACAAACAGACCGCCCAACCTCCGAGGAGAACTTTGCTCCTCACCTTGGACTCTGGACGCACAGAGCGGAAATTGTGTTTTCCCCACTACACTGATTGCCTTGCCTCAGCGTGTACGGTATGTAATTCCCGGGGCCGGTGGGAAAACAAGACAAGAACAGAACAGAAGAGAACATAACCCCAAGAACCCGCTTCGGTGAACTCTTTAAGCACTTCACATGGCGACAACGAGGACATTGAGGCCGTCGAGTGGCGACATTTTGAGTGGGGCAAGTGACGTGTGGAGCCTGGAGGATGCCTCTCATCGTCCGCCCACTTGGCCGCTCATTAAACAGATAATGCCTCCGCCATATGTTGCTCCTCGCCTCGTGTGTATTTTTAGACGCCTCGAGCATGTTTAATTAATTGCACAAACTTTACGCAAATTAAATGTCAAGCCGCAGTTTTATTATCTTCCACTTGCAGGCAGTCTGTCGCCCGAAACTACTAAGTATTATAGACCCCACCCCATTGGAACCCAGTCAACCTCCGAGTCCGGCACATTTTGCACGTCAAAATAGGATCCGGACAGAGTCACAGCCTCTGCTATGGCGGCACGATGGGCAACGGATATTTTCGAACGTCACAAACGTCGACGTCGTCACGCCAGCGGGAAAAGCGGTAAGTTGCACCGAGCTTCCTCATAACTACACTCAGAATTTAAAACTATTATTTTCTTTGCCACACTAACATTATTTGGAGCATATACTCCCCTTCCTAGTTCTTCTTTCAGTATAAGTGACTTAAAACTTCTTGTTTTGTTTTTCTTTCACATTAATTTCTCCCGATCTAATTGACTTCTGAAAATTTTAAATACATTTATAAAGAAGGCGAAAAGCAAGGTTACCATAGAGCATAGAAAATCAATATTTGACAGTATCAATATTTTCGATATTTTCACAATATTGTATTGATAATATCGATGTTTTCCAAAGAGCAACGTAAACCCTAAAAATCAAATATTACAATTCTGTTTATAAAGTTTACCCATCGTAAATCTGTATCCAAAGCATATAAATGTTAAACTTTTAGATCCTTCCCAAGTGATTTCAAAAACCCAGAGCTTATCGAAGATCGATGTGAAATATAATCAAACTTAAACGTTGATTTACAAACCACATTTTACGATTTATGTTAATGTTGACTTCAGATTCAATAAAAGCTTTGAATTGATTGCGACACTTGTCACTTTGCCTCTAAGACAAATGGGAAACAGTGACCCTAATTTGTTTTTCGAGTGTAACAAGGATTCTGTTCTGGGTTCTGGGTCAAGTACCCCGGGGGAGGGCGAGCTAATAAAATATCCTTGGAGACGTATGTGACGGGAAGGGTTTCCTGGTAAGCCATAAAAGTTGCTGGCGTGTGAGTGACCACCGACCCAGATCCCTTCTCCTCCCCCCCCCAACATCCCTTTCTCTAATCAGCCTCAACTGGACATCGATATATTTATGTCCTGCGGTTGACGAGGGGGGAGGAAACACATTTTGCGGGTGTGACAAATGCTCGCCTAAGACAGAAGGGTTTAAAAGTCAGCCATTTAAGTTTGGCCTGACTTGGCAATTTCATCATAAAGTTTACGGTTTAATGAAGTGAGGATTTGCTTAGAAAAGCTCAAGCCACAAAGGCGATAGATAAATTTGTAACATCAGAAATGAGTCTTGAAGTGTTGAGTGAATTCAAAATAAAGTTGGTAACTTTTCAAGCGATAAAGCGGTGACGTTGAAAAAGCATAGAAAAAATAAATAATCAATGTTTTTAAGCAAGAAACAGAGAGAACTCGGAAAAACAAAGTCGTATAAATTTGCACGTGTTTTTCCTCAAGTCGGGGCGAAAAAGATTCATCAAAAGTTTTATGCGGGTTAGCGCAAAACGTTAAAAAGGACGAGAAAATCATGAGAAAACTTTCTGTCTGACAAAAAGGTGGAGGAGGAAAATTAATTCGTGAAGATTTTTGCCAACATAATTAGTGACCTTTTTCGTTGGCGATGACTTTTAAATCGATTTGATTTGCAAACTTAATTGGCGGGTCAAAGAAAAAAAACAAATAGAACACTTTACCAATTAATTAAATGGCAGCAAAGCCAAATTGAGGCCGCAATTGAGGACATGGACATGGCAAAAAGAACGGCAATTAAAATTGCCAACGGCGGCGCCTACATGAGAAGGATAAATACTGGCATAGATGGAGGGGGCGTGGCGTCCAGTATGCACTCACTCGGGGGCTTTGGGTGTCGGACTTTGGCCAGGGGGCGTGGCAGCTGCCCCCTGCTGACAGCTGTTGGCGCTGCTCAAAATTCCAATCTGCCGCCATCGAAGCGGCGAATGCATAAGCCCGAAACCTGATGAGGGTTGCCAGAAAGCAATTAAAGCGGATTTCTATTCCCCTCCTCAAACGTGTGTGGGTGGCTTTTTTCCAGTTTATAAATATAAGCATTCTCAGCCAAGTATTTCAATTGCACAGTTCGCCGCAGCTGGAATTTCAATTGTTGATGTCTGAACTAGGATCTCTCATAGGAAATTAAAACTTTGTGATTCGTTCGCTGTGAAATTCGCTTTTAAACTACAGTAGGGAACTATATTATTCATTCTGAACATTTAGAGTTCATTTAATTACATATTTAATTGTCTAACTTAACACATTTATTAAAACTACAAGAGACGCTCATTTAATTAGATCACAAAAGTTTTTGAAACTTTAAAAATGTTAAAATATCATCTAAAACATTTATTTTATTTCTTTATTTTAAATAGGACACTGCCTTCTTTGTCCAAAATTATGGATTAATTATAATTTGCTGATGCACTTCAAGTGGTTTGAAACTTTTTGAGACTCGAATGGAACCTGAAAAAGGCAAAACCCAATTTAAAGTCTCTGTTGAATTAAAGCTCATTGAGTGCAAGAAAATTTTGTCGATTTTTGCCCGGCTACCGGATAACATTCACCCATTTTCTGATATCCCCAACCAACGTTGGCTTGGCCAAAAATTGAATTGTTCTCCCAGCTTCCGAAAAGTCTTGTTTTTTGTTCTCCTATATTTTCCGCCAATATTCCGGTGGTGTTGTTGTTTTGCCTCCATTGCAAACGCACACGGAGTTGCAGACAAGCCGACAGGCAGTCGCTTCATTTGCATATAGAATGCGTGTTCCGAGAGGCGATAATGTATCGACGGGCTTTTGGCAACTCGGGAACGGAAGATGGATGGAGGGCAGGGCGTGTGGGGAAATGGAAAAATGGGCGGAAGTGTGTACATAAAGATGTTAAAGATACAACAGCGATTCGATGACAATTTTTTGGCCACTGGCCCTGTATAAACCAATCGATTTATGCATACGTAGGACAGATGGGCACGGAATGTGTCAATGGCGGGACATGGGTTAAGATTAACCGTTGGCAGCCTCCTCAACATTTAGTCACGTATCATTCGAGCTCTACATTTTTATGGAAATTGCTATATAAGAGAATGTCTTTGTGTTTAAGCACTGAAGAAAAAAAAATTAAATAATTTAAAGCAATTATTTAAAAACAGTTTTACAAAAAATATTATTAAAACAAATTAAATAGTAAGCAAAAATGTTTACTTTCTGTCGAATACTTATAGTTATACATTAAAATTTTTGTTAACAAATCACTTTTATATTTACCCATTTGTTTAAAAAACCTTTGACATTCGATTAAGGTGTTTTTTAACCAAATAAACTTGATTAGTTTCTTTAAAAAAATGTATCATTGAAAACGTTAGATATCCTAATTTAGAATGTCCTTTATGTAAAATTCTATTTTCTTGATCTTAGAATTTTTTCTTTCTGTGTTTATGGGTGATGGATTCAAACGGGGATACTGTGTAAGTGTGCTTGTGTTGTATGTGTGTTCGTGTTGGTGTCAGCACTACGTGTAAGGCATACTTCTCGTGTATTTTTCGTTTCTGGCCTGCTAAGTCTTATTTTACTCTGTCAACTCACCTGTAAATAGAAGAGCAAAAACAGGAGAAAAGATCGTTAGAAATGTTGTTAGGGCTCAATAAATTTCTAAGCTCAAGTGAACAAATTGGATTGACTTTCAATGTGTTAGTGTTTCCCCAAACCCAACGCATACTTCCGGGACATAAACTTTTTTTATGGACGTTCGATGTTCATTAAAAAAGTTTCAAGCACATTTCGGCATGCAAAAACCCAGCCGGAAAAATAGAAGAACAACAACCAGGACGATTGGTGGCTAAAAGTTTCACAAAATTTAATTTGAAGGCATAAAAATAGAAGGATAGAGTGAAAGGAAAATTGTCAGTGGCGAGAATGGGACAGAAGAAGGATAGAACAGCCTCAAACAATTTACCAATTAGAATGTGGAAAAAGTTTGTACGACTGCCGTCAATGTAAAGAACTAAATAATTGCATTTTTTTTGGTACCTCCCGCAACGCCTGCGGTTTATGACGACGCCTGTCTGACTGTATAATAAATATTTCACACTAAATTGCACAATGAGAATGAAAAGTGGAAAGCAGCAACGAGCCAAAGACGGTTTAAATGAAGCGAAATGGGCCTAAAGAAAGAATGAGTGAGAGCCCACAAATTGCCGCTGAATGTGTGCAAATGATGGCAGCAGTAAAGCGGTGGAAAACTCTGGGAAATAAAGCAAGACTTGAGACAATTTCCGCAAACGAGCTGGGACAAGAAAAGCAGGAAAGGCGCGACGCCCAGAAGCAGGCTACACTAAATTGCCAGCCTACGTGTACGTGTGTGCACAGGCAAAAGGCGTAACGAGCGACTATCGCTTTCCCCACCCAGCTATTTTGCGTCTGTATTCCCCTTTCCCCCTTTCATCCAACGCAGACATTGAGATTGTCAATGTCTGGCGGAGCGTATAACATTTTCCCAGACCCGTGTCTGCTGTCTGATAAATTCTGCAGCACAGCCTCCGTCATCTGTCCGATTATCTCCTCCAGATTTTGTAGCTGCCTTGCACATGCAATTGATTAATGCCATGCACAAATTGACAAGCGAACAGAACAAGCAACATTCCGCCAGGCCCAAGCTAATGTAATTTACCGGAGTACCCGAGGCCCTTGGAGGAGTGCCAGCAGTGGCGGAATCGGAGGGTTTTCATTAGGGTATTGTAATTACATTACAAATCATCCATCGGTTTTGAAATATGGGTAAAATAAGAATCCCTAAATAGATAGAAATACACAATAAATATTTCAGACAATTTAAAAACACTTTAAAATGTGTCTAAAAGTATGCTGTGAAAAATATTATTTTACATTTTTTGAGATCTTTTTTTTTTAATTCAAAGCTACTAGTAAAATTGTAAGGATCCGCTCCTGTATGCATTTCATCCATCCATCCGTGGATACATACATTGCCTGACTGACAAACGAATCAGTAAGCACACATGTGCACCTTAAACATTTGCATATATTCCGATTATATAGACCCTCTCCTTTCTATTAGTTTGACTTGTTTGCATTTTCCTGACTTGGAAAATAAATATTTACCATATTTTCATATGGCGTCGTGACAATAGTTACTTTGTATAATGCTATACAGTAGAACAAACTTGAACCAAATCCAGAAAAAGTTTTAAAACTCGAACTTAATTATTATTAAATTATTTTAATCGCAA